TCCATGATTCTATGCAATTTAATGCTTTTCTAGAATATCAGCTGGCTTTGGCTAAACAACTTACTTTCTCCTTTCCTGATCCATTCCATAACTTGTTCGGGAGAAACAACCACCTCTTCAATCAGGTCTTCGACATATGTATTTCTCTTAAAAAACAATGACAACAACGACAAAAAAAACAGTAATAAATAATTTACTGAACTCTAAAATTCACATAAATAAGACTTATTATTGTACTTTTAAAAGTTAACAACTTGAATGACTTTTTTCTTTAATTTTCCTTCAAACGCAAGAAATGAAAATTTAGACTTACATTAGAACTATTACTTTCAAAGGAGGAAAAAAAATATCTAAAAAGCATCCTAAAAATTAAATTAGTAAGGGAAATTCCCTAAGAAAAGGTACAGAAAAAGATTTACCTTAATGCTACAAGGTCATAATTGTACAGTTAATAAAAATGAATTCTCCCCAGACTCCAAAAACATTGGTCAATTTAGGTGATCAAAATAAATAAGCAAATAAATAAATAAACATCCAGTTTGTTTGCTGCAAAGCTTAGCATAGAGAAACAAAGGATGGCATTTATGTAATTTATTTTTTCCTATGGTTTATCTTCCCAAATATGTTCTATGATTTTATCTAATGATTACAAGTAGAATAAAAGTGTTTTGATTTTGTAGATCATATAGCGATGCTATTAAAGCAATTCTGTGCATCTTTTTGAAGACTTCTATAACATTGAGATAGGGGATCAATATAGTTTCTGTAGTTCCACTAATCAGACAACTCTCAAGTATTCAATAAATTTTTATTAAATAAAAATATATTCTCTTGGAAAGCTTAAAGAATAAGTCTACATTTATGAACATGTATTCAGCTAAGCCAGCAACAAGAAGCTCAGCTTCACTGTTGTTATTCTATTACATCAACTGCCCTTCTGCTAACTTTGAAGACAATTACACAGTTTGATATGGAAACATTTTTTTTTTTTTTTTTTTTACTAGATGCCTCTGAAAGCTTTTTTTCCCCCTAGTACCTGCAAATACAAGTGCTATGCTACATAACAATCCCTCGCATTAACATCGCATCTACTTACATTAACATCTTCACGAATTCCTAGAGGCTTTTTTTTCCTTATATTGCAAAGCAGATCTGTGATGGTCTCGTTGTAGATTTCCATGTAGGAAACTCTTAATAAGAATTCTCTATCTGGAATCTAATGATCACAGGAAGAAAAAATAAAAATCAAATCAGCCTACAGAATGAATAGCTTTTAATGCAAGTATTCTAAACTCAAAATTATATACTTGGATATCATTTCACAAACTTATTTCCACTATACCCTTTCCACACAAGCACCTACAAATACAGATCTCTTCCAAGCTGCATTAACAATGTATCATCTTCAGTAAGCTATAAAAGCAAGTTTTCACACAGCTCTAAGGAAGCATGGCAATCAGTCTCTCACTTAGTTATCTTTTCCATATTAAATCCACTCCCATTTATGCTCTCTTCTTTCTACGTACCTTGACTTCACTCTCTTATTACTTGGATTTTCTTTGCTGCTGCTGCTTCTTTCGCTACCTCCACAGTAAAGAACACTAGGATGAAGGCTGCACAGTGGATTACAGCACCATGGAAGGTTTTCTTGGCTTAGAGTCTATTTTTGTTGATTCTAAAATACTCTGCACCTCACAGGAACAGATGACATGATGACATATCACATAACTGACATATCACATAACTGATACAATAACCTGAGACCCTCAAGGCAGAAGTATTCTGCAAACAATGTTCTAATTTATACCTTCTCCTTATACCTAATTGCATTGCAATTATTTTTATTATTTATTATTAATTCTGCAACATTGCAGAATTTAGGCCCTTGGGGTGCTGCATTAGTTGCACAGAAGTCTTCCCAATACACAAGCGATGACGTAATACACAGTCATTAATCTGAAGATATGCTTTATAATACACCAATCCAGCTGGATTTCACGCATGTCTGTACAGATGATAACTACACTAACGTTGGACAAAAGCCAGATGTATCAAAGCTACTGCTCTTTCTCAGAAAGACCAACAGAGTTGCACACTTGAAGTTCAGTGTTCAGGATAGCCGTCTCTAGTGGATTCAAATTATCAAGAAAACTTAAGCAACAGTTTCATAATATGAAGTCAGTTTCTTGCACACTGTTTCTGACATTCTCTTATCAGTCTGCTGTTCCATTCCCCGGCACAGAGGGCTTCAGCATCTTATGTTTATATGGCACAGTCCTAGGGAATTCTTTCTAGTATGGTTCCAGCCCATGTTCTACCAAAATTCACAGACTAGGAACTATTAAAATTGGCTAATCTGCCTGTGATTCTTTTGAACACCTGAAATAAATAAATTCTTTTTCATATTCTTCATGCTTTGAAAAATCAAGTCCATCATATTGCTAATTTTTGGAGAAAGTTTTAAAATAGCAGAGTAAATAACGAAGTTCCACATTACCTCGTCTATGCTGGTAATTCAAGTTTAGCGAGAACTGTTTTGTTATTGACGTGATTCCAGCTACGATGTTATTTTTAACTAATCACATCTCTGCAAGCTTAGCAAAACAACTGCAACATAGAGCCCAAATACAGTTTGTTTCCTTCATAAGTTCCTTAATACTAAAACTCATTTCTCTATAACATTCAGATATATTACTAGCCCTTTCAGTTATTTCAGTTTCACAGACACTCACCTCGCAAATAATTTTGAAGACGTGTTGAATTGCCTTAGGAATAATGCCCAGAGAATCTTTGTTTCCCATCATTGTGTATGTCTTCCCTGAGGCAGTTTGTCCATAGGCAAAGATTGTGCCTAGGAAGATGGTTACATTTTGTTGATTATTTAGAAGTTACATTACAAACAGGAGTTTAGTTCAATTTTAAGACTTACCATTGTAACCTTGCACAGCTGATTGTATAATTGGCACAGCTACATCTTCATATACTTGCTGAGTGTTGTCGCAAGAGTGAAAGACACGATCTTAAAAAAAAAAAAGAAAGCACGTTAGTGTACTGCACTGCAAGTCAAAAACAAGCTGTCATCTTACTCGGGAATACTGACTTCAAATCAAACATCAAATGTAGTTGTTACAACACTGCTATGACAGACTTTTAAAGAAGAAAAAAACGTTAAACTCAGAACCAAAAGAGGCATGATGAACAGACAGTGGAGAAGTCAAAGAAACCAAAAATGACAGTTAAACAGACACTCTGTTTAATCCTAACAACTGTTAAGACTACTTTATCAAGATTGTAAGCCAGACAGGCTACAAGACCTCTAACAAAGGGTATGCCTATTAAACCTCTAGCTTGGGAAAAAAATGTTTGTAGTGGCCAGATAAACACTAACAAATGCAGTGAATCCACTGGAAAATGCTAGAAGTGAAGCATTTCCTGGGCTCTAATTCCCATGCTGTCCTACATGTTCTGGGCTGCCTTTCTGTGACTGGAATGCCAGCATGCTACTGAGTTCATCTTCCTGTGTACTGTCATACAAAACGAATCCAGCTCATGTGCTCCAAAAACACTTGGTTTTCGCTAGTACGAGTCAGAACTCAGAAAGCAAAATTCATCGGGAATTTGGCTTTAAAAGTGCATTCCTGGACCAGCCTACAACAAAGTTGTGCGTGCCTCAGAGGTACATTTTCATAACTGTGAGAAGTTGGGAGTTGGAGAACTACAGAGCTGCAAAAGCTGAGGCAATTGCTGTTAACGTACATTCCAGTCAGATTAACGAAGGTATATATAAGCACTGAAGCTAATTATATAATTAACTTCAAATAATAAATAAAATAATAACATAGGCTGGTTTAGCAATAGGGATCAATACATTAGTTTAAGGACCAATGTAATTAGCAAAAGGAATCAATGCATACTAGTTTTAAACTTTCCATTTCAGCTTTGCTTCGTTGTTTCCTTCAATGACAACCTTGTTTCCTTTAATGACTCTGCTTCACGAGAAGCACTGGAGACATAATAGACTACTTTTATCTTCACATTCACAAGGTGCAAGGACTTTTTCCTCAGATTTCCCATATATTGTTTTGGGCTATAGTGTACTAACAGAGCTGCTCATTACAACCTAACAAGCAATGGAAATTTGCCAACCCGGGGAAGAACAACAAGAGCCCAACAAAAAGTCACCGTGATGAAGATGATGATGGAAAATGAGGAGGAAGTAATCAGTCTAAGACCACCATAGGCCCCCACCATGCACACCCAGCAGGACATTAGCACGTATTAATGAGTTCTCAGAAAAGAACACACATGCATATTGATGTATCACATATCTATGCCTTAATTGCTTAAATGTAGAAGCTGAACTCCGAGATAGCGTTCTTGATTTGTCAATTGCCTGGTATACATCATAAGGATAAGGAAACGCCAGATGACAATTGCTTTCGCATTCTTACCATAGCTGAAGACTTTTGTACCATTCACTTCCGAAACGGCATTGCCCTCGCTTTTCCAGTAGAGCGATGCTTTGTCTTCTAGAGTGCTTTCCCTAAAGGAAAGGACGCCCCGTTAACCGCACAGGTGACGCTGCGGCTTTGCCCACCCGCCGCGGCCGCCACTCCCGTCAGGCCCCCCAGCCCGGTCCACCCCCCGGGGCCGCGCACAGTGCCGCCGCCAGCCTCCCCCCTCAGACCCGCTACCCGGACAGGCGCTCACCTGGCGATGAGCGGCCGTACGCGCACGCAGACCGTCACGGCCCCCTCGTCCGCCATCCCCGCGGTAGCCAGGCAAAAGGCTGCGCTCACAGGAAGACGCGCGCCGCTCCCACAGCTCTCCCCCCGCGCCCCGCAAACTGAAGAGGCGGCGCCGCAACCGCTGTCCGAATTTGAACTGCTCCCGCGGCCGCTTCCTATTGGTCCGCGCTGCGCAGGCGCCTCGGCGGAGCGGCCACTCCGCAACCGCTGCCGGGAGGGGAGAAAGGGAAAGCGGGGCGAGGTGCGGATGGCGGCACAGCCTGTGGAGCGCTCAGCGGCAGCGATGGTGCCGGCCCAGGTCCGGGAGCTGTGCGGCGCAGTGAGGCGCGCTGAGTTGTGTGGTTTCACCCATAGACTGGACGTCCTTCTGTGACCGAAGGAGCAGCAGTGAGGAGTGAGCAGAGATCAGAAAAAGAAGTACGTTCCACTCACGTTCAACAGCAAGTACTTTGCAGTTGCTTTATTACACTAATAAACTAACGTTTAAACTTTTAAAACGTTTTTGTCCTCTGTATTTTAATCATCCTCCTATTAAACTAGCGTTTGAATTTTTGAAGCATTTTTTCTCCCTCTATTTTAATCATCCTCCTCCTCTTCACCATCCTCAAATTCTTCCTCCTCCTCTTCCTCCTCTCCTTCCATGCCTTCTAGAGCTTTTTGTTCCTGTGCTGCCTTGAAAGCCAGCTCCTCTTGCACCGTGGGGTCTGTGGCCTCCCTGATCTCCGGCCCATCGGGGTACTCAGGCTGCACAGGTGGAGGCAGTGCAGGTGTATGGTTTCCCAGGCTGTATTTGTGCCCCCAGCCAAAGTAGATATTCCCGAATTTCCTGAGAAAGAAAAGTGAAAGATCACACAAACTCTCCCCAGCAGAACATCAGCTGTGATAATTCACAGGCTTCCTTACTCTGCTGTGCACACAGTCGCTGTGGTGCAGGTTCCCTATAAGAGGTATGTTTACAAAAAGCCATCTCTAATAACCGTTGATGAATTCACTAATCCAGTTCTGAAAGATGCAGACCTATTAGAGCAGGTCCAGAGAACACCTATGAAAGTGGTCAGAGGGCTGGAACACATCTGCAGAGGAAGGCTGAGGGAGCTGGTGGTTCATATTGGAGAATGTGCCAGGGAGACCTTGCTGTGGCCTTTCAGTACTTAAAGGGGGCTTATAAGAAAGATGGACAGAGACTTTTTACAAGGACATCTAACAATACAATCAGCAATAATAGTTTTTAACTGAAGCAGGGTAGACTTAGATTTAAGGAAGAAATTCTTCATTCTAAGGGCAGTGAGGCACTGGAACAGGCTGCCCAGAGAGGCTCTGTCTGCTCCATGCTAAGAGCTGTTCAAAGCCATGTTGGATAGGGCTTTGGGCACCTGGTCTAGTGGAAGGTATCCCTGCCCATGGCAGGTTGGTTAGAAATGAGTGATCTCTGGAGGTCCCTTCCAACCCAAATCATTCTGTGATTCTATACCTTCCACTTAAAAATCTCCCAGTGCTAAAACAATGCTTGCTATTCTGTCACTTCTCTATTTTGCAGTGTGACTTTCACTTCACTTTAGTAACATAGATCCATTTCTCCAATTCCAGTGCCTATTTAAAAGTTCCCACTCTTAGTTAACTGCACTGTGTATAGTGGAAACTAATGGAACTAAGAACTACAGATTTAAGATTTTTTTATAAAAAGCATTGCAGACTCAGGAACACAGGTTTTAAATTGAGGACCGCAGCCAAATATTAACTGGATATTTACACCCATTTGCTTTATGGTAGTATTTCCAGTGATTCCTCATTTTTGCTTTTGAACATGCACTGTTGCTATTAAGCTGTATTTTCCAGTCTCAGGATTAGTTACAATTCAGTCAGTAAATTAATGGTAAACCAGATTTGACTTCAATAGATACGTATGTGTTCAGCGTGTAGAATTTGTGTTGTAACTGTGTCAACTGACTACTCACGCGCCACATGCAAAAGCATATGCTCCAGGCCATCGGTTCGACCGAAGGATTGCAACAGCATATTGAGGGGTCAGCTTTGGAGAAAGTGAAGCTGTCCAAGCAGGGATGTTTTGAATTCCTGGAGACAGTCAAACACACAATCTGTGAATAAATTGGCTTAAGAACCACTGCATTTAAGACTGAGCGACAAGGCTGTTACAGAATTCATGCAGTATTAAATTAAGATGCACATTAGACGATCTAAGTCACAATTAATATAGGCACTGTATTCAGACAGGTCATTTGCATGGGAAGGTATCTCATGGATGCCAGCAGCCACACACAGAAAATACCATGTTCCTGAAATGCAGTAGTACTCACTGCTGTTTCTTTTGTCAAATATCGTTTAATGCTGATGGATAAATTGAATTCGTATTTTACTCTGATCAAAGAATGGAGAGCAGGAAAATAATTTGCTACTGCTATAATCTAATATTCAGGTTTGCGTATTGCCATGATTTGCTGCAGTTAACATGCTACAGAATATAAATTCTCACTAATATATCTATACATGTGTGTACACATTTATTTACATATGCACCTGCTTTTTTGTCTATAAAGATAATGGAAAGATATCTGAATGTATTTAATATGTAAGCTGTCTTGAGCTTGGAGTAGCCTGACATGTCTGAGGAATTTTTTCTTTATTCTCACCAAGACTGTTAGCTAGAAACCCCAGAGATTACAGTTTTAATGTTGGTACTGGTAACCATTTTGCATTTGATTCATTCTGCAAAAGAATAATGGCAAATTACATCATTCCACAAAGCACCAGAGGCCTGTCACTTCAAATGTTTACTACCTGAATGCTAGCATTTCCAGGGACTTGCTATCAAAAACTTTGTGCTCCCTGAAGAATACCTTCATCTTCAGAGAGTGGAGTGAGAAGAGGAGGTCCTATTTCTTGCTGTAGTTCATCTGGCACCTCATCCTTCTCCTCCTCCTCCTCTTCACCTTCTTCTTCCTCTGTTTTTTGTAAAGGGTTAAACCAAACACAGCGACCCTACCATCAACAAGGAAGAATCATAAATACATGCAGCAATCAGCGAAAGAAGCCAGCTTAAGTAAGTGGTTCAGACACACATACACAAGAGGGAGTGGGGGAGAAAAGAAGGACTATATATTCCACAACTGAGATATTGTAGGCAGACTGTTGTCTCTCTATCCCTCATTCATTACTTATCCCTGCTTACCATTTCAGAATAATCTCATACTTCTCTCATGAGCTTTCTGTTATTTTGTTGTATTTGATTCTTTTAACAATCCATGCTGATGATAGATGCTGGACTTCAGCAAGAAAACAAAAATCCTGTTCTTACTGAGATTGTATCTTAAAGCACGCATTTGTTTCAATATTCATTTTGTGAAGGGATATTAACTTGTTGCTGGCCTTATTGGTTACAGCCATGCTGACATTATCCATCTCTTCCCAATCAGGAGGTGTGAAGATGCACAGAAGGTGCACAGAACATCCTTTCCCTCTACACCTGAGCTCAAGTCCAAAAAAGTTCCTGAAATGTGTGTGCAAATTCCTACCTATCTCTATCCTTCTTGTGCAGACCTGTATGCTCTTTTCCAGTTGAACCCTTAAAAACACAGAAGGCCCAAGAAACACCACTGCATGACATAAGCGTTTATACCAAATTGTCCTTAAGTTTGGAGTGAACAGCAGCTCAAGAATACAGGAAGCTAGTACTACAGAATGAATGGTATCTGAGGTCAGGTGAAATTTGTGAGCACATACCTGCTTTAAAATACTCGGTACATGGTGTACCCATGTAGACAGAGACTCCACCATTTCAAATGCAGAAAGAGGTTCAAAATCAGGGTTTTCTTCATAGTCATCTCTTCCTCCTCCCCCTTCTTCATCTTCATCTCCTTCTTCCTCTGCAAACCGGTAATATCCAAGGGGACTCACATGAGTTCCTGCTGAGATCCGAGCTATCTGTGCACGCAGGTAATTGGCTTCATTTCCAGGGAAAGGAGGGAAGCTCACAATGGGAGCATCAAGCCTACCAGTGAAAAACTTCCTGATTTTCCTGGCACAGACAATCTGTGCTGGTGTCACTGGAGGCAACTTCACCCAGGGCTCGCCTGGCTCATTACAAACAAAGTAGACATATTTATTAGCCCCAGTTCCATTTTCTTCTTTTGGAATGACAGGTGGGGGCTTATAGGTAGACTTTGGTGGTTCACTTGTTTCTTTTTCCTCATCTTCATCTTCGACCAAATCCATTCTTTTATCTCCTTCGTCAATAATCTCTTCCTCTTCTGTTTCCTCCTCCTCTTCCCCCTCACGGTACTGAACTTCAGCTATAATATAGTTCTTCTCCCGGCCCAGAATTCTGCCCCAGAAGCGACAGGTCTGGATTGGCTGAACACTAACAAGTTTTTTAAGGGCAAGAAATATGAGATAGGTTTCATCTCTGCTCAAGCCAATTCCACCCTGTTCAAAATAAAAGGCTGTTTCCATCATGTTAGGTAGAGGAGTCCCTCCCTAGTAAACAAAATCATGAGTTAGAATGAAGAATAATAGCAGTATCTATTTGAAAGACTGAACAAAATATCCACTGAAAGTCATACTTCACTCTCTCAAAGTACTTTGCAGGCATTCATTTATTACATCTTTCACTATTGTTTAGAAAAATTAAAAATGCCACAATAAGGATAAAGAATGCAGATAAACGACAGCTTTTAGAATACAAGATCTCAAATTTCAAACTCACTATTAACTATTGCAAAATAAGCAAAGTCAGGATTCTCACAAAGGATCTTCAAGAAGACTTCATTGCTTATGCATGTTAACTATATGAGAGGCCTTGACAACCAGAAACAAAACTACTATCTTTCTTCGTATTTGTGAAAGATGCATTTGGGGAGAACAGAAAATGTATTTTATACATTTAGACACCAGGTCAACGCTGTTTATCTGAAATTAACGTTGCCCTTTTTAATACCTTGTCATAAAGCTCCCTGTATTATTAAGAGGGAATTTCATAAGACTAGTATGAAATATTGGCTCCTGCTCTTACTGAAGTCAGTAATGCTCTGGCTGGCTTGTGGGATGCAGAACTAGGCCAATAACAAAGATTAAGAATTTACATTTGGTTTTTCATCCGTCTCTCATTTCATGGCAGTAGGTGGATAAGGATTGTAAATTATTCACAGCAGGGAAGGGAGTTTAGTGGAAGTAATGCTGGTTTCGTATGGAATTTGTCTCATTATTACAGGTTTTATAGGTCAAAGCAAGATAGACAAGAGTATGAAAAATTCAAAGTTCCTTTCTGGAACACTGCACTTTTCTCCATTTTTTCTTTTACTATTGCATATTGCATATGATATATTGTTACTGTAAAATGAGTAATAGGCTATGGTAAAGATGCAAAAATGTATATTCAGTCGTTAGGATATGTATTCTGTGGT